GGCAACAATCCTCCACTAATTTCTCCACTGTGAGTCCTTCCCATGGGCTGCAGTTCTTCATGAGCTGCTCAGTGCGGGTTACTTCCACAGGGTACAGTCCTTCAGGAACAGACTGCTCCAGTGCGGGCCCCTGCAAGGTCACAAGTCCTGCAGCAAACCTGCTCCAGTGTGGGCTCCTCTCTCCATGGGGTCACAGGTCCTGCCAGGAGCCTGCTCCAGCGCAGGCTTCCCACAAGGTCACAGCCTCCTTTAGCCATCTCCCAGCTCCACCATGGACCTCCATGGGCTGCAGGGGGACAGCCTCTTCACTATGGGCCACCCCATGGACTGCAGGGGTTTCTCTGCTCCAGCACCTGGAGCGCCTCCTTCTTCTTCCTCACTGACCTTGGTGTCTGCAGGGCTGTTTCTCTCTCATATTTTCACTCCCTTCCCCAGCTGAAGTTACCATTGTGCAGCTTCCCCCCCCGCCTTCTTAATGTGTTATTCCAGAGGCACTACCACTTGCTGATTGGCTCAGCCTTGGCCAGCAGCAGCTCCACCTTGGAGCTGGCTGGCATTGGCTCTATTGGACATGGGGGAAACTTCTAGCAGCTTCTCACAAAAGCCACATGTGAACCCCCTGCTATCAAAACCTTGCCATGCAAACCAAATACAGCAAGAAACAACTAGAATACCGGAGCTGAGGCAATCCTAAAGTGTTTGTGGATTTAAAGCAAAACTATTTGGTGCTCAACACTGGACATAAGCACCAGATGTTCCCAGCCAGCTCTAATTCTGGCTCTGACAGACACAGGCAACATTACTTAATCCCTTGTTCTTAGGCATCACTTTCCCTATCTGTAATGATAACAAAACATTCTAAAGACTAACTAATCCATGGTCCAAAGGTAGTCGCCATATGGTGGCAAAGACGGACACTTCCAATAGTAGCGTGAAAGACAAGGTTTATCAAGTGTTATTGAAGAGTTGCGTGATAATGATATGCATCTGTCCAAAGGCTTTTTTCAAATATGTTCTGACTTCTCAGAACTACTGCAGTCTGAACACTAAACAGATCTATAAAATTTACAGAGTTGTTGTCCAGAACCAGAACTTCATTGCCACTGTGACCTTCTTGCATGTTTTATTTAAACCTTCAAAAATAGATTCTCAGTAGCAGTTTAGATGTTAAGAAGCTAGAAACCTACAAACATTCTGCTTTCTCTTTTGCCCAGGGGCCATCCTACTTAGTTTAATCCTGTCCCCAGCTGCAGCCATTTAGCCTGTTATCTTGATGGCAGGTGGATAGCCTTAGTGTCATTCTGGTGACCACACAAAGTTTATTTAGATAAACGCAGAAGTTTATTTGCAGTATAAACATATGGGTAGGATGAAAACCAACCAACCCCAGCAACCCACTCATTCTGTTTGCTTAGCTGTAGCTCCTGAAAAACAGAAGAGGTGACTAAAACCCTGTCAAGCATTCCTTTTCCATTTGGTTTTTAAACAGCCTTCTAGTTCAGGGGGGCTTTTTAAATCTAATTATGATCTATTTTATTGTACTAGCACTCTGTTGTAGTTTTTTCTCTAGCAGAGCCACACCTCTTCCATTTGAGTTTTCAGACTGTGACGATCCTGATGTCTTTAAAGCTGTCGACGCAGCACTGAAGAAATACAATGGAGACAGAGCAACTGGTAATCAATTTGCTCTATACATGGTGATGGAAGCCAAGAAAACTGTAAGTAGACTTTGAAAGAAAAAAAAAGGAGGCTTGAAATGTTTATGCACTCTGAATCAGATTCTCACTCTCTTGTTCATCAGTAGGTAAGCATGACAGCAAAGCATATTCCAGAACATTTTAAAAAAATCAAAGAAATTACTTGCACAGTAAGATACTCACTACTGTGACAAGGAATGTATATTATGTTCTCATCAACAGAACTACGCTGGTGAACTGCTTATTAATGCAGGGACTAAAGAATAGAACATTTCTACCACTAACACAGTGTGTCTTACTAGTCCACTCTCAATTCTCCTTTCTCTGTTGGGAATTCTTTCCCCTTCCATTATCAGGAAGGTTGTCAATCAATGACAAAACCATATTTTCTAAAAATTGTGAATATTATCTTGACTTGGGAAGAACTGGTAGCACAAATGAAAAAGAAAGACCTCATAAAATTTGGCAATACTGTGAGTCTCAAATCACAGATCTATCTAAAAGCACTAGGTGGTATTTTAGATAAATAGGGTGACAGCTAAAATTACAGAAGAAAAAAGAATGAAACATGATCCTTTGCCTGGAGTCCTTCTGCATATGTTAGTCTAACAAAAGAGTATTTACTTCTGAGAGGCATACAAAGATGATATTACCATAATAATGACAAGCATTACTTTACTTCAAAACAACATTAGCATTTTTTTCTACTGGATTGGGTTTTCAGAAGTAAAACACAAGAAACCCAGTGTCAGAGAGAATATTTTGCACCACAAAATCACAAGACATTTTTACCTAAAAAGGGGACATAAATTGTTAAACTCTTTAGAGTAAACTACTTATATCCTGTGGCACCTACCTTCTGGTTTTCCTGTTTTCAAACTGGGGAGATTTTATCATGTTTTATCATGTAGTGACAAAGACTAAAATCCGGCAAGCCCCTTATGCAACTAATATTAAACAAATGAATAGTCCCACTGTCTTCAGTTCACTGTCACTGACCCAGACACATCTTTAACAACAGCCAAATGCAAACCTCTTTATATCAGAGCTGTAATGTCACCTTCCTTTTGCTGATAGTCCCAAAAGACAGATATTAGTTCCAGTATTTTATCTTAAACAATGTTCTATTTTTAAGAATACATATTTATTGCAATTATTATTTATCTTTCTCTAGATATCCATCTTTCCTTTTCTTAAAAGAGCTGAGGTGGAAATCAATTATTACTTTGAATCATTGAACTGATGATGATGTTAAGTAAAAAAAAAAAAAGGAATCTGCAATAATTTCCTCATATTCGTTATTCTTTTTCTAAAAAGAGTATAGACTTTGCTCATCGTTAGTCTCACTATGTTGAATACATTAATTAAATAGCTGAGTATTACATATTCATGTACATTCATTATTGATAAGGTAATAAAACATAAAAGCTGACTGGTGAAAGACTGAACCTGCTCCAGTTAAAGGCATAGCTATTCTTTATAATAAGGAAATAGACCAACAACAAATACAGAAACAATGTCTCCTCTCACTTCTTTCATTTACTCACTGAGTTGATTTGCTGCAGACTTGGAACACTGTATCAGAAAACAGAATTTGGCTCTTTTTAAGTCCACATCCCCAGTAGTATAATCTGATGCAGCTCCATAAATGTTAATTTATACCTGCTGAGGATTAAGTCCCTTACATTTTTAGAGACTCCTTTATCCTGTTTTACAACTCTCAACCATTGTATCAGGTACCTCTACACCTCTTTGTATTTGTAGCAATACATGACAGAAATTGAGAGAACACAGAATCTAGTCCTGTGTCTACACAAGTGTAAATCCAGTATGTTCCACCTGCATCAGTTCAGCTTCACGTTCTTGGTACCACTAAGGCAAGAATTATAATTTAATTCTCCAGCAGTATCATTTGAGGGTAACCAGTGTTAAAGTCCAGCAACTGCCTGTGTTTGTACTTGAAAAGGCACTTTGGCAGAGCAGCTTTAGTGGCTGTAAAAGATTAGTAACTTCTGTCTTTATATCTCCTCTAGAGGATTAACCACAAACCTTTCAGCGTGTTAATGCTACCTGTAGGCACAGTCTCACTACTCAGTTTATGTCAAGGAGAAACTGCCCCTGCTGATTTGCCAACATCAGAAACACTTCCACAGGCCAGGCCAAACTTCACTTAATGCTTTGTCTGTATTTTGTCTTATGGATGAAATACCATCATATATTTCCCCATATAATCTATCCTCATAGCCTTTAACAGCTAGAGGAAAACTGCAGGCACTGCCAAAGGCTGTCTCCAGAGCATATGACCTCCTCGCACCTTTCCACCGAGTAGGCAAGGCAGCTGAAGTACCCTGTTACCATAGTGTAAAGGCAGTTTGGGCACTGCCAGACTGCCTGGGGGTTGCTGACTGCTGTTTCTGGACTGCCTATAGAGTTGTTCAGAAGGAAAGTAGACAGATATAGGAGAAGGCCAAGAGTGAGAGTGAAGGAGTCAGACAGGAGCACAGTCCAAGCTGGTAATTATGCTAACTATTCGAGCAGCAACCCAAATTTGCTTATTTGGAGTACATTTCATAGAACCATAGTTAGGGTTGGAAAGGACCTTAAGATCATCTAGTTCCAACCCCCCAGCCATGGGCAGGGACATGTCACACATGGCTCTGTCCAACCTGGCCAGCGGTGGAGCATTCACAATATGAGAATGAACGTAACTACTTATTTCTGGTTTTAAAAATCTTGGTACTATAAGTTAAAATGAAGGTGGCTGAGCATACTTCATCTATTGTGTCAACATATTACCTACCTTTGTAGGTAAGGGCTCGTTAGTATAATTAGATAAGTTAATTGTTGAATTACAAAGACTTGGGAGACCTTGTATGGAGACCAGAAGCTAATCTGAGACAGTACTATAAAATGGATAGTATTTACCTTTTGAAGCTCTTATCTTTTCACCTGATCTATCACTACACAAACAATGATATGCATATTTTTATGCAGGCGGGTCCTGACGCTCAATTCCATGTGAAATATCAAATACGAGAAACCACTTGTGCCGCTGAGGAAAACAAACTCTGGCAAGACTGTGATTACAAAGTATCTGCAGATGCTGTAAGTATCTGTTCTCTTTAAAAGTCCTCCGTACAGAAACATCACCATAATGACCAGGATTGCAGTTGCTTGGGGAAAAATACAGCAGAGAATTTAGCTTTTTTTAGCTGTGTTGCTTTTGAAAGGATTAAAGTACAGTACAGAAATGTTTACAACTCTAAAGTTAACCATTATAAAATGAGTTTACTGTTATAATCCTGAATATGTACAGAAGGGAACATTCCAGTGCTCCAATAGGAAGGTTCAGAATAAATTCAACATAAGATACATGGAGAGTGTGAGGGCTGTAAAACTTCCTGTTAATTATGTATAATGGAAACCTGTACAACCAAACTGACTTCAGATCTGCACTAACAAAGGTACTGACATGGAAGCCACTATGGCAGAAAATCTACCAGAAGACTTTTATCAGTGTAAAGCATGTCTGGCTCGTGCTACTAGAGGGCACCTAGAAGAGATACAGTTGGGGCATGCACAGTGGGCAGGATCACTGCACATATCCAGTGGAAGGCACTGTTATTTCCCACAGTACACAATGCAAAAAAATGGATGGTCGTGATATCATTTGAATCAATGTGAAATGCCGTGGTCATTGCTGCATATCTTGTCCTAGCAGTGTGGAAATGAGGTCAATACAAAATTTATACAGACTTCATTTATGAGGATGTGTTCAGTTCCATTATTCCGACTAAATTCTTTAGTTAATTAACATGCATTAATCATGATACAAAGCAATCTTTCAAACTATCTGCTCAGTTCATCCCCTCCTCTCCTCACAAACAAAACTATTCCTTTTTGGGTAACAAACCAGCAAATTAGACATTACTGCAAGTGTACATACGAACTTGTTTCCCAAACTCAATTTGCAAGGAATAAATAGCATTGCCTTTTTCTTCAGCAAGTTTAAGCCCAATGCTATCATATGTTTTTGCAGAAAACAGGAGAATGCACAGCTCAAGTTCACATGAATAATGCTGAAAAAACAAGTAATGTTTCACAAGACTGCAAAATCTTTCCAGGTATGGAACTATTTGGGGCAGCATTCAACAAGTACATTGACAAATAAGAATGGGAAACACATAATACTGAGACTTTGAGGTAATTTTAAAGAGCTCCTTATTGTTCTATTCAGACATTTATAAATAATCTTCCTTAAGCAACTACATGTTAAAGACAAAATTTCACTTCACAATTATACACATATAAACTAAGTCAGTGAAGCACTGTCAGTGTCTGTCCAAGGTAATGAAAACCAGCACATGCATGTGTAGTAGGTTTCTTCAAACACTGGAATTATAGCAAGTTACAATGAATTTGCTTAAGATCAAAACATATCAGTAACTTAGAGACTAGACACCACTTCTCACACTTTAATTTTCTGTCCTTACTTACTCAAGTATAAAATTGCACCAGAAATTATTAGAAAAAAAACCATATGACAAAATTGTATCTTAATTTTCTCCAAACTAAATATTACTAATTATTTATGTTTGTGTACTAAAAGAGCATTTACCCCAAGAAAAAAAAAGAAAAAATTAATTTACAAAATAAAAATCTAGCAGTGATATAATTATGTATGAGAGACTGCGATATCTTTTAGACCTTAACAATAAGCAGTACTACATTTCTTGCCTATAAGACATTCATATATGACTTTGTCCACATAGTAATTTTCTGTATTAGAAAGACATCAGTGCTTTAAAGCTTTGCAACTGAGATCTCTTTGTGGTTATGCCCAGTGTTCATGTAAGACATATCCAAGCTAGTTTTAAACTGGTAGCTGGGAGCTTAAATGCATATTAACTACAGATTTCTGAGATCTTTGCAGCTTATCTTTGGGGGTTTTTGTTCCTAATTATCTTGTTTAAAGCTTAAATGTCTATACCTACAGCCAGTGTCGTTCTAGGAACTGCAGTAGGCACAAACTCCATGTTCTGCTACTGAATAAACACTGCTTGGTTTAGACGCATTTGTAGGGCAATGGTGACATCTAGTTGTCAGTAGAAGGTGTGTGAATCCCACAGAGAATGCATGGGAAGGGAATTTACATTTGAATCTTTGCTTAGAAAAATAAAATATACATAATTGAATTATCTATTCAGCTTAAGCAGCTCATCTCCTCTTAGCAAGTCATAGCAATTCTGGAAAAAAAAATACACGTTCGTTCAGCATTTATGAACATGTTGGTACCATAGTGACGGTAGTCACTTTATGTTTTATTATCTACTTTGTGATTCCTCCCTGGAAACACGGTCACATTTTTCTGTAACATATATATTTGTTAGTCAAGATAAGTGATGGTAAAAATACGAAGGGCAGGCCTTTACTCAAGTACCCCTTGGAGAGCTAAGACTAAATAGTATTGCTTACACTGAGATACTCACAATGCACAGAGGAGAGAAATCAAACCTGAAGGATTAAAACAGAAAGAGTGAAACAATAGACCCTATCTGGTGAGGGATTTCCCCACTATGTCAGGTACCATACGGTTCAGTCCTCTTGGTGAAACAGTTTGATCATACTTACTCTGGACTGTTTTCCTGGCTGGTGGAAGCTGGCTTAACTCCATTAAAGCCAGTTTATGCCAGCTGAGGATCAGGCACACAAATTTTACTTCAATTCCATAGAGACCACATATTGTCCCACTTTCATTCTCAAGCTCACTGAATCATGAAATTAATTTATGTACTGAACTATAAAATTAATTTATGAAAATCCAGTCCATGATTACTAGAAAGGAAAGAGAGTTAATAGGATTAGGAGTAGGAAACAGAAGTTTGAGCATCCCCATCAAGCTTGTCTATCCACAGACAATCCAGCTGGTTAATCCTGAAGGTAACACCAAGTGGTAACGGGCAGCCACAGTGACTAGCAGGAGGTTCAAACAGCACAGCAGTAAAATAGTTCAACTACGTTCCCGAAGGAGCTCAATCTGAGCAGTTCACATGGGTGAGCCAAAACACACCCGCCAAAGACCCCACCCTGAAACATGGTGAGGTCAGTAAGCGGCTGCCCACAGCGGCTGAGCTTTGAAGAATCTGAAAAAACAACTCGTTAGTTGTAGCCTCCAGTGGCTCTAGCCTGACTGAATGAGGGATGACCCTTCCTTAATGGTGTCAGATTCACAGATTCAATGACTCCTGACCTCACCCACTCCTCTGAATGAACTTTGCTGCTGAAACCATGCCTAGATCCTAATGTCATGGATGCCTCCCACCACAACAAACAAAAACATAACGCAGTGAATGTCTCTGCAGGCCCTGAAACTGAAATGTGGGGTTTGCTCATCCCAATTAAATACAGAAAATGTTCTAGCTCATTGAACCTTTTATCTCATTCCCACATAGGAAAAATTAAAACCTGAGACTGTTTTACATGAAGTCTTTTGTTTTGTTTCTTTTCCAGATATGCCAAAGATAACACTTACTCAGGCTACATGTCTTGGATGCTTTCATCCTATATCAAGTGACAGTTCAGTAGTGTCAGAAATTCTGAAACAAGCCATTCAGAAGTTTAACAAGCACAGTGCTGAACCTGCCCTTTTTAAGCTTGTGGAAATAAAAGAAGCTAAAAGACAGGTTTGTGTATCATTTTTCTCTAAATTTTACTGAAAAAAACCCACAAAACTCCAGACCCTGATGGTTTCATGTACATATTTCTGATTTTTAAGTTAGCTTATAATTCATAATAAAAATGTATAAAATACATATAAAGTAGACCCTGTAAATAATTCTCTTAATTTACAAGAAATCCTAAATCGTTACCTACTGGATTTTCAGAGCTTTCAACTGATAGTAAACGTACTTCTTCTTTATCTGCAGTTCTATCTAACCAGTGCTCAGCCCCAGTTTATTTGCATTCACTGATGACACAGGCATCTTGTACCATCTTCAAGACTCTTGGGTATTCTACTTGGCCTCTCCCTGAAGCTCCAGCAGGAGCAGATCTCTCCTAGGTGCTGTGCCAAAACTGCCAGCCTGCACAGATGTCTCACATACTCTTCAGCCTCTCAAACAGCAGCAGGCATCTATGTTTTTGCAATGCATTAGGACTCATATGTCAGCAGCTGCTATACACTATAGGACAAGTAAAACCCATATAGAAAATTGGGTAAGAAAAACAAAATGCCAACATGCCACTTGCTGAAAGATTTCTTCACACAGGAATATCTGCTTTGCAAGAAATGACTCTCAAGTTGCAGAAATTCTGTGTCATCTGGTATTCCAAGCAATAATTATTTCCCTGTGAAAGGCTTTCCCTTGGATTAGTGTGATTGTTGCTAGAAAGCAGAGTTTCTGTATGTTTTTAACCAGTATATAACCTAACAACAAATATAGACCCTTTTCTTTGTATGTGTATGTATTTACTTGGCCAAGAAGCATTTCTGGTCTCATATCAATTTGACCCATGATTTAATTCAGACTGTCCTTTCACTATTTACTGATGGCAATGATCCTCTTAGCTGAAGGACAAGATTGCACAACATTTAAGCCACATGATAAAATGTCACAGACAGACTACAATCCAGCAGCTGGAAAGAGAACCATCATGTCACTTCTGGCCAACAGAGAGTAGTCAGAGTCCTCCACTTTAATTGAGCTGAGATGGAAACTTCCTATATTTGATTCTTATTTCCCCTTTTTAGCCCACCACTGTGACATGGAGAGATTTCATGGGTGAGCAGCAGTAGCCACAGTAAGGAAAACTGAATCACTTCCAGGAAAGAAAATGAAAAAAAAGGCCACAAATCTGGACAAACCAGTGGGCAGGGGAAGGTAAAGCCCTAGGCAAACAGAATTACAGGTAGATGATAAATGCAGGACAGTCAATAACACATGATGTCAGCAGTATAAAGCTACATTATTCAGATACTGTTTTACTATATCCCATGCTAAGGAACATAGGCCTTGCCGAGCTGTATTAGTATAGTCATCTATCTAGACCAGCTTCCTGTCACTGAGAGTAATGAGTAACAGATACTTTGGAGGAAAGCACAAGAAACCAACCATTATGAGGCTGCAGGCTTGCCAGGAGAAGTGGAATCTAAATACAAAGTGTGCTTCTAGTGTATGCATGACTTAGTTTACTTTTTGTATCACAAGAACAAGTTTGGGGTTTTTCTTTGCTTTCCATGAATACTCTATGGGTCAGTGACTAAAAGGTGATTTGATGGATGGAAGGCACTAGAAAAGTTGTTTTGCTTTCTTTGCTAATCACATTTAATAGTTTAAGTTCCAAGTTTGTATTGGTTTACATGATGTATCTCCAAAATATCTGTTCTAGACGGTAGCTGGATGGAATTATGCAATTAAATATGAAATTGAGGAGACTAATTGCTCCAAAGACCAATTTCAAGATTTAACTCCAGAGTGCAAAACCACTTCCAGAGGTGTAAGTAATCTTCAAAATCCATCAATCAAGAAAACATCATATTAACAAATAATCATTGATATCTGGCTCAAGAAAATATTTATAGTCTTGCTTCGCTTTGTGAATGAAGTTTAAATCCAGGCTTGTCGATAAGTGTCTAATTATGCAATTAAAACATCTGTCTTCTCCTGAATTGGTTACTAAGATGACCACTGAAATGCTTACAGATTACTCTACAGAATCTAAAGAGTCTCACCCAGATAATACATCCCTTGAGAATCTCCTATCCAGATATTCAGAGCAGATTCAGAGCAGCCCTGCAGAGAGGGACTTGGGGGTGGTGGTTGATGAGAAACTTGACATGAGCCAGCTTCAGTGTGCGCTTGCAGCCCAGAAAGCCAACCATACCCTGCGCTACAAAAAGAAGTGTGACCAGCAGGTCGAAGGAGGTGATCCTGCCCCTCTACTCTGCTCTTGTGAGACCTCACTTGGAGTATTGTGTACAGTTCTGGTGTCCTCAACATAAAAAGGACATGGAGCTGCTGGAGCAAGTCCGGAGGAGGGCCACGAGGATGATAAGAGGGCTGGAGCACCTCCCGTATGAAGACAGGCTGAGAAAGTTGGGGTTATTCAGCCTGGAGAAGAGAAGGCTGCGTGGAGACCTCATAGCAGCCTTCCAGTATCTGAAGGGGGCCTATAAGGATGTTGGGGAGGGACTCTTCATTAGGGACTGGGGTCAAGGGGTAATGGGTTTAAACTTAAACAGGGGAAGTTTAGATTAGATATAAGGAAGCTCTTTACAGTGAGGGTGGTGAGGCACTGGAAGGGGTTGCCCAAGGAAGTTGTGAATGCTCCAACCCTGGCGGTGTTCAAGTCCAGGTTGGACAGAGCCTTGGGTGACATAGTTTAGTGTGTGGCGTCCCTTCTCATGGCAGGGGGTTTGGAACTAGATGATCTTAAGGTCCTTTCCAACCCTAACTATTCTATGATTCTATATTCAAGGAGTTACTCAGGTATAATCCCAAACCTGATAATTAAAATTTGCACTATTTTTCCAACTTAAGACATATTTTCAAAGAAAAGTAAGTAGCTGAATTATCACTTTACCCCTACCATTGTCCAAATAAGAGAGCTTCAAAAGACATTTGTTAACAAACATACATACACTAGACTGCTAAACAGTACTGCAAAACCAGGTACTTCCTCTGATCTGGAACAGAATTAACTCCCTCCCAGGAGTCAGAAAAATGTTTCTGCAAAAACAACATAGAGGGCAGGAACACAGAATAGTAATGAACAGTGGTGGTAAATGGGAGGGGAGGAACCAGAGGAGTCCCAACTCACATCTGTTTCAGCTTTTGTGGAAGTGCACCGTTGAGTGTTACATTCAAGAGCCTCTCTTGCTCAAAAATTACTCCTTGGATGTCTCAAGAATGCTTTGGCATGCTTCAGAAGCATTGATCAAAAAAGGAAAGAATGACAACACTGGTACATAATAGAAGAGTGAGTATCAGACTAGCTGAAGCAAATCTTTTCATTATCCACACTTGCCCTTAAACCTTAAGCAAGTTACTTAGCTGCTTAAGCCTGAATTTCACAACCTGTCACCTAGAGGTAATGGATTCTGTCACCTCACCTAATGCAGGAGTGCTACCTCATTCACATACTGCTTTGATCACACAGGGTTAGTGGGATTAGATTTTTATCGTTTATCCCCTGAATTGCTAAAAAGCCTTGCTAATAGATCATCAGCAGGTATTATTAGAATATCTATTCCAAGAATATTCCATACGTTGGAATGACCAAATTCCATGGAAATTGTTTCATACCTTTATTTAGCTCTGTACTATTCATTTTGAAATGGGAGGATACCAGGAGCACCCTGTATCCAACATGTGTGTGAACCATAGAATTACTTCAGTGGAGCATAATGTCATTCTCTTTAACCTGGACAATAAGCTTTGACATTATTTTTTATTATTTTTTCTAAATGGAGAACTAAGCAGATTTTTTTATAGATGGTTTGAAAATAGTATCTGTCATAGCCCTAAGATCTTATTCTACAGTTTCTTTTAGAGTCTCTGATAAGAGACTTCACTGAAACCTTTTTTAAAATCTACATATACTTTATCAACAGGTCTATTTATCCACTTTTCCTGATGCTTTTGAAGAACTTTGATAAATCTGCAGAATATTACTTCTGTTTACTACAGAAACCTGAGTCGCTCCTTGATGTATTCATGCCCCCTAGTTCTTTCTGTATTACTATTTCTAATCACTGGAAAGGTACAGACATCAGTTTTATGGGTTTATAACCTTTTTAAAAAAGAACTGGATCAATATCTGCTTTCTTCCAGCTCTAAGATACCACGACAATTTTAAGCAAGTCATCTACCAGGGTTTCTTTAGAACACCTGAGTAAATACAAGAAACTTATTAATGTTTGATATGTTAATTGCACAATCTTCTTTTCGGTCTTCACTGTTTGAGAGAAAAATTCCAGTGAGTTCTCCATAAAACAGGATTCTGGCTTGTAAACCTCCCTGTTTCCTTCTGTAATGAACACATACGAGTAGTCCATTTAGCTTCTCTTTTATGGTTTTATTTTCCCTGAGTGGTCCTTTTGAACCCTAATCATTTGTTGGCTCTGCAGACTGCCTTTCAGGCTTCTTCCTCCCAGTATATTGGAGGAAGGAAGGAATTATTATTAGTATGCTTGACTTAACAGTATGCTCACTTACGACATGAGCTTGTTCATTATTTCTAAATAACAAGCTGTTTTGTGTTTTTTACTCTAGCGTGTAGGTATATGTGATGCCAAAGCATATCAAAGTCTTCAGGCAGTGATTGTGGATATTGCAAGCCAGTGCAAGCTTCCAGGTATGTCATAGTCACTATCAATTTTCCAAGTTCTTCAGTTTTCAATTTTTTTTTCCAATTGTAAAAAGAAAGACAAAGTAAAAATACAAGAGATGAAAACAGATAATAACAAGAAAGTAATTCTGATGGGACCAGAAAAGCACTGCCTCTTACTGAAAAATGACCACAGACTTTTCACTTCCTGCAAGTACTTCTTATGCAGCTAAAAGTTACATTTATCATTTGTATACTGCCCTATTTCTATGACACGGAGCTGGTTGCTGACTCTCACTTGGAGATTAACAAACTCAAAGAGTATAACTGTCCTACAAGAATTAATTTCTTTTCCACCACAATGACAAGCAAGTTAATATCATTTAAATAATGTTCCAAAGAACGCCAATCTTTTGAAAGGGAAAGGACCTGCAGACTTTAAGATTTTGTCCAAAATTGGTAATTCACCTATTGATGCTACCATTGTTCTTTTTCTATTTCATAGCTATATTTATGTTTGTTATGTTAGAGGCTTTTTTTTTTCCCCAGTGAATAAATTTCTTAGAATTTATAAGTTCATTGCAGTCAAACTCCCAAATGGCCTTCTTATTGTTACTTTTTCCTCCAACCATCTATTTGGGGACAGGTTATCACAGCTTGAGCTTTACAACAGGGTATACAGTACTACTCCATGTAGTAAGTGCTGTATTCTCACCCATTCAAACTTGTTTTTCTTCAAGAGATCATAATGACATTCTTCCCATGCACTCGTTCATTGCCAATAACATACACCTCTTGTTTCACCTGAGTCAGGTCTTCCCATATGCATGATGTTCTCTCTCTGTTGTTTGCTAGCCACCCACAATTGGTACACACCATTCTTGTTTCTGTGAGTAAACTGTTCAATGTGACACCAGGTGCTGATGCAGTCCTCTTTTAGATAACAAAGATGATCATGTTGATCATATAAAACTCAAAGATACTTTGGTTTCGTTTGATAGAGTCAAATATGAAGTGTTCCAGAAGGCAGGGGTTTATAGCTTTTTTTCCCAGCCTTTATCTACATTGAATTTTTTGTTCCTTAGATCTGAAATCTGTTGGTTTCTTTCAGTTGAAGAGACAGTAATTCCTGCCACTCAAACTGGTTGTCCGAAGACTGTCCCAAAAGACAGCCCAGAACTGAAGGAACTACTGAAGGTTTCCATGGAGAAGTATAATTCAGAAAGCAATGATGATTTCTACTACAAAAGTGGAGAAATAGAAGCAGCGACAGTTCAGGTTGGGATATACCATAGAGACGAGGAACAGACATGGCAGTGTTATTGGTCTGAGCTGAATGTTAGCTAAAGTTTGTATTTCTATTTCAAATAATGTTTTTCTGTAAATAATCTTTTCTCTAAATAATGTTTTACACATATTATCATTCATACGGTAATATGTGGTAACTGAAATATCCATGCAATTTCCTTGCTAAGTTTTATCTCTCTTGGATTGAATTCAGAAGTGAAGTAAAAACCTCCCATCTCTTGATTTTTTCCTTTTTTTTTTTTTTTTTATCACCATGATTTTAAAAGCATGGAGAGATGATTGATTCAGGGTATCTGATTTCTGTATACCTACCCCACTTTTAACCAGCCTCTTTTAACATACCTTTGACTTTTAAAGTAAAAAAAAAGAATGACTAGATGAAATTATCCACGTGATCACCACACCGATACTCTGTATGTTATTTTAGACACTGTCAACCCTATTCTAAGCTCCAAGAAATGTGGCTTCACAATTTCCCTGAGAAATATGCTAATTTATATACTGATTCTGCTACTAATAATACTCCAGCTAGATTCAGAATATCTGCGCATAACTTAAGACGTAAAGATAAATACAGCTGGGTAAAGAACAAGAAGGAATTAGGAGGATAATATTGGTCAGTATTTGCCTTGTTTACACTCCCAACGTATCAAAACAGAGGTTTAAGACAGAATTGGAAATAAGACACTGGAGTAGTTCAGAAAATACTTTGGTAACAACTTCTGAGTATGAGGGTACCAGTGGAGAAGGCAGTAAAAGCGCACCAGAGTTTTTCTCAATAGCTCACGTATCTTACTAATAATATCAGTGCTTTTTCTTTTTTTAAACCTTTTTTCTTCTTTCAAATCTTTTTCTTCTTTCTCACTTTTCATATGATGGCTGATATTAGCATGCATACACTTTAAAAATAGACTTAAAAGAGACAGAATTTCATGCTTTGCCTGCTATCTCTGAAGCAAGATATGTTATCTTGGGCTCTGTAAAAAAATACTAGGAGAACTCGTACTAGGCACATTCTTGAACCCATGCAGTTTCTCTCCTTAATGCATTTGGCAAATACGTTCGTTTTCAACTGAGCCTGTTCATCACGCACTTCATTTTACTCACATTCCACTTTTCTTACATCATATCTAGCTCTCTACAGACGTATCTCTAATAATTTCATTTGTTATTAATGAAATTGCTATGGGCATCAAATACAACAAAACCAAAACTCTGGGGCTAATATTATTGTGACCTTTCTGTTTCTTTCAATTTCAGTGCTGGAATTTTTGAGAATGGGAGTTAGAGTAAATAAATAAGTTGATTAGAAGCAGATAACTTTGCTGCCAGATATTTTTATATTGTTCTTAACATATGTCGTCCTAATGGTCTGGACTTGTAGAATTAAGGAGTATAAGCTTGCAGAAAAATTTCCTGTGAACCCTTTTCAATAAAATGCTTTTACCACAGAAAGTCTTCTTGTTAATTTTCCAGGTGGTTGCAGGACAAAAATACCATTTAACATTTGCAGTCCGGAAGACAAACTGCTCAAAGTCAGAATTTGAAAAAATTAATGAAGACTGTGAAGCCACATCAGACAGTGTAAGTAATGATGATATTGCCAACTGTAATATTCCTCATGGACAAATTCATTTGCATTAGAACTTACAAACACTTAAGTAAAATCACACCTTGAGTTCTGTTAACTCTTTCAGTAAACTTTTGTTTCATTGTTTGTAACCCAAGGAGGTGTCAATGTTAATAAAAAATGAATCTGAAACTGAGTGACACTGAGTCACTCCAACTGCAGGATCAATGCTTACAGCAAAGCAAAAGTAACTTTATTCTGATAATAATGAGCCAAGGAAAGGGAGGAAAGAGACTGCTGTGAAAGGAAAGAGCTACAATACTCCTGACTCTGTGGGCTTTAGAGCAGCCCTGAGGAGAAGACTTGGGGGTACTGGTTGATGAGAAGCTCAACATGAGCCAGCAGTGTGCACTCGCAGCCCAGAAAGCCAACCAGTATGCTGGACTGTATTAGAAGGAGCATGGCCAACAGGCCGAGGCAGGTGATTCTCCCCCTCTACTCCACACTCATGAGACCCCACGTGTCCCAACATAAAAAGGACATGGACCTGATAGTGCAAGTCCAGAGAGGACCACAAAGATGATCTGGGGGCTGGAGTAGCTCTCCTACAGAGACAGGCTGAAAAAGTTGTAACAGTCTTCTAGTACCTAAAGGGGACCTACAAATAAGCTGGAGAGGGACTTTTTACAAGGGTATGTAGTGACAGTACAAAAGGGAATTGCTTTAAACTGAAAGAGGGGAGATTTAGATTAGGTATCAGTAAAAAATCTTCACCGTGAGGGTGGTGAGACACTGGCACAGGTTGCCCAGAGAAGCTGTGGCTGCCCCATCCCTGGCAGTGTTCAAGGCCAGGCTGGATGTGGCTTTGAGCAACCTGGTCTAGTGGAAGGTGTCCCGGTCCATGGCAGAGGGATTGGAACTAGATGAGCTTTAAGGTCCCTTTCAACCCAAACCTTTCTATGATTCTATGACTCACAGCTAAGGACAACATGAAAATAGAACGTTACTGGTGTGCAAAGGAATGATGTTTCAGGAGCACATACTGCTGATGCCAGGAAAATGTGTTCCAGACACTGGAAAGTAATGTTGATAGGGCCAGAAACCATTGGCAAGGGATTTGGTTGGGCAAGAGAGGCTTTATTTCCCCTCTCTTTTCCCATTAAATGAGCAGTATTCACCTGTGAGAATTTAAAATCCATTGCTGCAGCAGGCTCTGAATAGAAAAAAATGCTGTTCTACTTCAACTTCCCAATTTTTTTAGAGGGAGAAATAGCACCAACAAACTGTATTTCTTAGGAATATCATGAAGATTAAACAATCAGTGCTCCAAAAGTGCTGGAGATGAAAAATCCAATTTTTCAAGATCCAATCTTCAATCTGAAGTTAAATTTAAATGTTCACACAGGTATTCTGTAACCTCTAAAAGCTAAGCAGTGATGTGTCCCAGTAAAGAACTCTCCATTACTAAGATGGTTTTCACAGATATTTCATAAAGCACATTTGTATTTAAGAGTATTATTAAAAAATAATGTTTGTTTTTGTTGGGTTGTTTTTTGGTGGTTTTTTTTTTTTTGTTTTTTGTTTTTTTTTTTTTTCCTGGCACAGTTCTCTCCATTTGTGTCTGATATTTTGTTGCCTTAATGTGTTTGGTTTGGTTTTGTCAACAGGTACCATTGTCATGTGAAGCACAAATTCATGTGATCCCATGGGAGAATAAAATCTTTCCCCAGGTTAACTGCTCCAAAGAACGGTCAATGGTATGATGCCTTTTCATTACCCATCATCATAAGTAGAGCATAGAACCAAGGCAGTCATTAAATTCTTTATCCATTCCAAATTAACCCAGACTTTGTACGAAATATAAAGGAACACATTGTTCTTTTAACAACCTCAGTAACGCTGCACTCCTCCCTCTCAACCTCTAACCTCAGCAACTTGTTACATTGGAGTCAGTCTCATGACAGGTGAGACAGTGGATAAGCCAGTGACTATGGAAGTATAAAGGCAACAGGACAGAAAGAAATTCTATCATTCTGCATTTCAACTACTCCTTTGCATTATCAGTTAAGCTCCGAACTATCAAGCCCCAGCAGCTCCTTTAAATTACAATTTATATGAGGCTTAAAAATTGAGACAAAAATATATTTGGCAATGCAGTGATTATTCCTCACGGATTTCAAAAGCATCTGCAAATCTTTTCATATGAGTAGTGCATCTCCTGCCATGGGTTGTCAATCTCTGCAGGAAGATCTTTATGTTTCCTTCCTGCCCAGCTCCGCAATTAACTAGCCCTGAACATGGGTCACTTTGAAAATTTCAGAATGAAATTTAAATCTCTTTTATTATCAGAACTTTTGTAGTTCTGATGATTGCAGGTTTTTGATAAATGCAGGGACTCCCATTCTCCCCAGTGAAGAAGATACTCTGAATAAAGTGAGATTGATTAACTTGCATTCATAATCAGTAACTTCACTGTGCTCAGCATCTTCGTAACTACCTATTGTTTCATTATGTATCAACAATAAATGTCTCTCGTCTTTGTTTTCGCTACAATATCCATATCAACTTTCAAGTTTAGCTCCATCACAAACAACTCTGATTTGCAGCTAGAGACACTTCGGTGGAGAGAAATTAAACCCATGTTGGACAGTGACTGCACACCATGCATTCAGTCTCTGTCTTCTAGTTCAACAGAGATGGGAAATAGAGATTACTCAATAACTGAATATTTCATATTATCAACTTTAACCTACATGTATTGTTTCTAAGCGGTCTTACAAGATGCTTATGTCAAATCTAGAAACAAAAAACTGAATAGTTACATTTCATATAACAAAAAAACCCAGATCTTTTGTGCATTCTGGTATTGAGTACTCAGATACGTGTTTGTCTTCAACACAAATTGGTTTTATACATTGGAGTGTTGTATTCTAACAAGTGCAGGGATATTTAGTCTTAGAAATCAATTATATTGTTCATAAATTAAAACCAGTACACATTTTCCTCTCTACAGTACCATTCCCATGTTAAAATGGCAAAGTTTCAGTGAAACAGGCTGAGAAAGTTGGGGCTATTCAGCCTGGAGAAGAGAAGGCTGCGTGGAGACCTTATAGCAGCCTTCCAGTATCTGAAGGGGGCCTACAAGGATGCTGGGGAGGGACTCTTCATTAGGGACTCTAGTGGTAGGACAAGGGGTAATGGGTTTAAACTTAAACAGGGGAACTTTAGGTTAGATGTAAGGAAGAAGTTCTTCACAGTGAGGGTGGTGAGGCACTGGAAGGGGTTGCCCAAGGAAGTTGTGAATGCTCCAACCCTGGAGGCGTTTAAGGCCAGGTTGGACAGAACCTTGGGCGACATAGTTTAATGTGTGGAGGGGGGTTGAAATTTGATGATCTTAAGGTCCTTTCCAACCATAACTATTCTATGATTCTATGATACTTAAGTTTTTCTTTTAACATATAACTGCTAAAATACTCTGCAGTTATTCAGGAGGATGTTTATGTTTCTATGCTTATCACGGACAGAAAAAATTATTATTTAGCTTACTTTAAAAATATAACATATTTCTGCTAAATGATTCATGTACTGCAATGCCCCAGCTTCTGAATCTCTTGAATCTGAAACTATCATTCTTGTTTATGTAAGAAATAAGTCTATTATTGCAATGTTTTCTAGGCTGTATTACTAAGAAGGCCTCCTGGATTCACACCTTTCCGAAGTCTTGTTATGCTAAATCAGCCAAATGAAATTTCATGCTCTGATAAAAATGAAGAAGAAAAGCAAAGACCTGATAAAGAAACAAGAGAAGATGAGCAAAGACCTGATAAAGAAACAAGAGAAGATGGTGGCCAGGAACCAGAAGGTGAAGGCAAACCTGAGCATAAACACAAGCATAAACATGGGCATGAACATGGGCAGAAAAAGGATCATGAGTCTGACAGAAGGCATAGGCATCAAAATGGTTGTAGACACAGAACTGGTCATGGGTGTGGGCATAAAAAACACAGTAAAAATCGTAAACATAAACATCCAAACCACAAATCTTCTGAGGAGTCCAATGAAAGTGGTTTTAACCAAAACAAAACCCTCCCATCATCCAGTGCTGAAACAGCATCAGAGATAGTAAACCCAGGGGTTGCAAGAAAGGAAACCAGTACACCTGCAGAACCACTAATTCTTCTGGATACTTCTTCATTTAATGGGTTGCCAGATCACCCAGAATCTCCTCTCCCCAGATGCCCTGGAAAACCATGGAAAGAAATTATGGACATTCCAGCTCCTTCTGGCTTTCCCAGAGAATTCACAAATGAGGCTCTCTTGCCTTCTGCTGTAGAAAACAGCAATCCAGCCACAGAAAATTCAACACCTTCCCAAAATGAAATGAAAGACCTTGATCTCTCAGATGCTTTACTATAATTCAAACACTGTAGTATCCTTTTCAGAAATTGTACATAGAAAAAGTAAAAAAAAAAAAAGGCCTTTTGAAATGTTTAAAATGTGAAGAGGCAAAAGCTCCTATTCTGTTAGCTAAGGTACTCAAGTAGGTCACCAGCTCTTCTGGGGACCTAGGACCATACGGCAATACTCTGTATTTGCAAATATTTGCAAAGATGTAAATCAGGCAATGGCACCAATGCTTCAGAACCAGTCTAGTGAAGGCACCAGGCAAGTCAGTAGCCTTTGGCTACAGGAGTTAAAACTATATCTGCCTCAAATTGCTATAAGCACAAAGTGAATCAAATCTACTGTATCATGTTTAAAACTGTCATAATATTTTGGAGATTACATGAAGACTCTCAATCAAATATGGGTAAGACAAAAGCAAGCCAAGGATGCCTTTCTTAGATATCTGAAATAATATTTCTCTAATTTACTGGAGTGAAGCTTTTAAAGAACAAAATAAAACAAGTGAACTTGTTTTACCTGTCAGTTTCTTTAAACAGATTAGTATTACCACCACTCTATCACTAGCAGTTGTTCTGTTGAATGATATAACTAGGGACAACTGGGAGAATCCCGAATAATGTAGCTCTTTTATTCCCTATGAACATTATGCTAACTACACCGCAGAAGCACTGTGATTGACAGATTTTCATGTGGCAGAGGTGCACAAATATGACAGATGAAAAAATTGCAAACACTTGAGTTGCCTACAATTTGTCTGCCTTCTTCCATAGGTTATGCATAATTTAGAGAATGGATTGAATTTTCTACTCTGGATATCTTCCAAAGGTTGAGTTTTTGGTGGGATACATTAGCTAAAACCTACCAAGTATTTCTGGCAACTTAAAATATGTTTTCTTTTTATGGATCCAATGATTTATACAGCTGACATTCCCCCTAACCCCCAAGAAAAAAAAAATACACCCCTCCAAAAACCCAAACCAAACCAAAAACCAAACAAAACAACCCCACCTATAAATAAATACTTTAACACTAGATCCAGTTTGAACCACTATTTGGTCCTGTAAAAAGTTACTGAAACCGGAAGGTGCTACAAATGGTAACACTTCACTGATTTTGTTGCAAAAGACCACATTCCTTGAAAGCACAGTCTAAGTATCCTCCAAAAAATCCACAGAGACAGAAAATATATTCTCTGAAATTGTTCATCCCACTGCTGGGATTGCTATGGCATCAAGACTATATACTCAACAGCTGGGAATGTGTCCTTCTTTTGTGTACTATGCTTCTATTCTCATCACCTCACTGGTTAGGAAGAATTAGACAGATGAAGACCACTTAGAGAATGCAAAAGAGAAGGATCAACAGGATTGAAAGGTTTTGGCACAAAAGATCCAGTGGGATCTTGAAAGAGAAAATAGCTACAAGGAAAGGTCAGAAGACACAGAAGTGGAAAAGACAGAGGCAGAGCGGAACAATATGGATGGTGTGAACAGAACAAAAGAAAACAGCAACTTAGTGGCAAAAATGGGAACAGAGCAAATGGGATAGAGAAGTGGATGAAGGTTTTGCTCCATGGGCAAGGAGCAAAAAAAAAAAAAAAGACATGAACTGGGATCACTACGATTTTGCATGTGCAGTTTCTTTTTCTTCATTTTTTTAATGACTGCATTAAAACATACATTAAAATGATATTTTAAAAGTCATGAAGTCCAAAATCAGGAACTGTCCCTGTGTGTATAAATTCAGCCTAGTTATGCGCATTTAAACTTTCTTTTTTTAACATAGTGTAATTTGCCACCATACAGGCATATGATATAATAGATAGATAGATAGATAATTTTCTGTCATGACTGATGATATATGATCAGAACAGCTGTACATACTTCCTTTCTGAAAATAAATGATAACTCCTGGATGTATCACTAATCAAATTTTGCATTTTTTTCTTTCATTTCTTTCCTTTCCTTGCAGGATGAAATGCAAATTCAATCTTTTCTTTTTAGCTCATGACAAGTACTAAACTTACAAAGCTAGACAAAGCTAGGCAAAGGAATCCTTGAGAGTTATCTCTAGTTGTTTGCTTCTTTTCTTTTTTTCTGAATATTGACTGCTATGATTTTGGTTGTAACTGGGAACTCTTTGTGTATGCTGTATTATTAAAACATTATAATGTATTATGTATTATGTGTATTATTTTGAGTACAAGCTGAAAACAGCTCTTCTTTAAATTACTGTAACATATAGTAAATATAATTAATGGAAAATTACAATAAAAGAAGATGCAAAGATGAGGAAAACAAAGATTTCTTCCCATCTCCGATCTCCCTCATCTGAATGAAAAGATAGTCACACTCTAGACATATTCTCCCCACTGAGCATACATACATGACCACAAGCAGTGAGACATAGACTGAGTGGTCAGAGCAGGGTAATAAAAGCCAAGACTCCTAAGTTCTTGACTGCCTTGAATTTACAGTGTGCTATAGTTATGATGTGAGGATTCATTAATGTTTAATACAAAGATGACAATTTCAATTTTGACTTCTTGGTTTTATGAAATAAAAAATGGGTTTTTAACCATTTTGAATAAAAATCAAAGTGTTACAGTCTAAAAACTTGGAACAGAATGTTCTGATATTTTTAGAACAGAACACTTCAATTTCTCATTGATGTGTTCCCACAGAAAGTTTTAATTATAACAAACCAGCACTTTATGATGGAAAAATATACTGTCAGAAAGCTACTGACCAAGCCTGTTTGAGATCTGCTGCTGAACAGCTCTGCAAAAAGACCAATTTCTCCTATTGGGGGAACCGCGGTGCAGCGCTGCATCCAGTGCATCGCTTAACAAGAACCTTTTTCCTTGGCCAGCAGATGGCAGATTTTTTGCCACAAGGTTTTATGCTCTACCAATTAGTGGTTTGTGATTGCCGGGAAAGGTTTAGCAGGCTTAACACTCAGCGTTTCTTCTGGGCCAGTAACACTGTAGATAAAACCACCACGTCTGTGCAATCTGTTTTAAATATGAAGCTCTATCAATAGAGCATAAAAAATTTGCCAGTTACTTATTATGAGCAAGGTGTAGAAATAATGCCCTAATTTCATGAATATAAAAAATAATAGCCAGTCCTGCAGCAGAAAAGTTGAATCCTTCTGATACAGATAAGTGGAACTAAGAGCCTGGGGTGTGAAAATATGTCTGAATCAAACCTCTGTTGATGATACTGCTGAGATGCAGAGCCACCTGATGGCCATTCTACAGCTGTCTGGATTTAATGTGCTCTCTCTCTTGTTCATTCCATCTGTGACAATGAGATAAAATATGTATTTTAACTGACATATAAAAAATTCCTCATCTTTACCATGGAATATGGATTTATCCATGTAATACTACTGGATTTTTGCTATAGTTCAGACTTGACCTTTTAATCATAGTCGGCAATTCCAATCATCCTGTAATGCTGTGCTCACATAGTGTAACTAGCCAAGGGAGAGAGATGTGCAAGCACCTGACAACAGAAAATGGGGAGAAAGAACACTGTCATTTGATATGATGTAAGAAACAATTTCTTCCCTTGTTTTCTCAGGTCTCTCAGCCAGCAAGCTAATTGGTCCCAATTTAGGAATATCAGCTCTGAGAATAAAATGACTCTGTCTAGACAATTAGAAATAACAACACTGCGTGACCATTGTCATATAGACAGAACTGTACCAAATCCAATGTACAAATTCCTCAGATAATAAAAAACCCCAAACAGTAGGGATAGATATTTTCTATTCTGTGACTAGCTACTCACACTTGACTTCTAATTCTGCTGTGTTTACATGGCTACATTAGTATAATTCAGCTTCCACAGTTTTAATGAAGCTTTAAGTGGAGTTCATTTGGTATAATATAATTAATAATGCAGTGGTTCTATTGCATTCTAAAATAAGAGGAAGGCTGCTTTAAGGAGGAAAGCGTGAAGGTTTTCCTAACTGGGTAAGGCAACTTGCTACAATGAATGCTAGTATTGCTGTTGTTACTGAACTGTTTTCAATCTGCTGCTCAATGAAAACCTAAATGTAAGTTCCAAAGGAGTAACTCCTACCAGTATGAAGTAATAGGAATTATAAACCTGTTAGCGATTCTTTTCTCTTCTGCCATGAATACTGATAGTGCTGGCTTGTGGGTTGAAGAGCAGGCATTAAACTCCTTGTTTCACACAGAAAAGTATTTCCCTTGCTGTTTTAGTTCAAAGTGAGTCACAGAGAATCAGAATTCCCCACAGAATTCAGAGTCATGCCAAAGAAGTATATTTGTTTTAAAACTGAAGAGTGTGAACCCAAAATATCTTTTATGAGAAGTCACTGTATGAATTCAGTGGATGACTCTCCATCTTCCACTGGATGTACTTACTACAGGAGCGCTAACAGATCTCTTGGCTTGAAAAGAAAATATCTTTGTGAACAAAAGACAAGGGAGTGAACAGGCAAAACTGATTAAGGCAGAGAACGAATGAGGATGTACCTTTTATCAAGGGAAAATGAATTTTTAACTGAAAGTTAGATTACAACAAAAAACTCAAACAGTTGCGGCAGACAAGAATGGACAATTGTTGATTTCAAGGGGTGAACGTAATGCTCATCAACAGAGTAGGGGGAGCTATAGCATGTTTAAAGAAAGACTGACTTACATGCCCAAGACACTATAGTTCAGTACATTGAAAAATCCACCAGATGCACGTAAAGAAATTTAAACAACAAAGGAATGTTGTTTTATTTTTTTTTTCTAATCCTTAAGCATGACAGCAGAATTCACTGCTATTCAATCCAATAGAAAAAAGATTAATGTCATGAAGCATCACAGAGAAGTAAAACTATTATAGCCGAATTCTCTTCATTCATATTTGCCAGCTGTTCTACTAGCTGTATATTAAGTAAAAGAGTCGTAATGCTAACAAAATTAATAAAAATCAAGGGATATAATGGGTCATAGCTCAGCTTCCCTGGAATCAAGCAAATATTGG